CTGCAAAAACTCCACATCAGATTCTCCTTCTCATGTTGGCAAAAAAGTGTTTTATCTTTGTGCTGAGGACTGCTTTCAAGCACAGTTCAGAATCCACACCAGATTCTCCTTCTAGGGTGTTTCTGTTTCAGAGCGATGAGTCCTGCAGCTGAAGTTACGGGGCTGCATGAGACCTCTTGCCCACAGAGAAGCTCCTCTTCATCTTACTGCATCCAGCCAACTATACATTTTGAGCTTTTGGCTTTGCAGGCCAGGTGTTTGTTATTTACTTCAAGGAGTGTATGTATCGATTGTGTATGTCTGTTTGCTTAAAGAGGACATTATCAAAGGACTTGAAGTTTCCAAACCATTCAAAAACATCCGAGGTCAAGCTGGCTGCACCATCCATACCAACACACCTACATCATATGAGTGCATACATGTATTCCAATGTCTGTCGGACCCATTATACCAACAGGCAAAGAAAACCAAGCATGTATGTTCAATGGTAAAATGTCACATCTGGTGATATGAATAAATAAGGGACAATTGAACTATTTTCCGTCAATATAAAACCCTGACATTACAAAATGCATGATTTTATACGGTATGGCGGAGAGATCAAGGATGTGGTTATATGGGATGTGGATGGGACACGAGTGTGCTAATGTGTGAGTTTTTTGTTTAATCTGGATTCTGTGCAAAAGCTAATTATCCACCAAACTAAATGTTGTTGCTAATCTCTTACGTATCAAGTGGTGTGATAAAAAAAAAAGAAAAGCCGACCCCCCTACATTGCATTATATGGAAAAATACTGCCTTTTTATGCATGTTTTCATAGCAAAACGGCACAATTCATGTTTCAAACTGCAGTTCAAGGGTTAATCTGAAACATAATTTAACATTCGTATTTTTGATCAGAGACTGAAGGTTGATGAAAGATAACCGCAAAAGTTTTAAAAAATATTTAATCTGTATGTCATTTTGGAGCAGTTTTTGAAGTGGAATTTTTTTCACCGAATGACTAACATCTAACTTTTTTGTGCAATCTGATTCTGTGCAAAAACACTAATAATGCAAAAAAAATCAATTTGCTGCTATCTCTTTGACATATCCCAAGACTGTTATAAAAAAAAAAGAGCCAGTCACTCAGATTTATGTATTTTTTGGTGAAATATAACTCATTTTCTCTGTTTCATCATTTGAAAAAAACAGCGGTTTCATGTTTTCAAAATGGCATTTTAAAAGTGTTAAATCCTGAAAATTGTATTACATTTTTGGTATTATTTTTATTAGGCGCGGAAGTTGCTTTAAAGATGAACCCAAAAAGTTGTGAAAAAAACCTATTTATATTAATGTTTTTATCAAGATCTTTGCAGTGACATTTTGTCTCGAATGACTAATTTGCCGTAGTTCGATTTGTTACACAGTGAATTAGAAGACCCGATTTGATAATTAATTGGAAGTCAAAAATAGATCGAGAAAATGCCTTGTTACAAAAAGTCAGGCCATTTGCACCAACACACCAAAGTTATTGCAAAATGAAAAGTGAAAAATGACCTCCATTACGGACAAAAACGATCCACAGTATACCGGGGGTTAAGGGACAACTGAATGAGCTTTTTTTCCTTTTTCCTTCTTAATGCATTGCATAAAAGATCGTGATTCGGGAATCAAATCGGTATCGGCAGATTTGTCCCAAATCAAATGATCGAACGGATCGGGAGCACAAAAGGTGATCGCGGACATCCCTGTTATGCCTGAGGCTAGGAGACTGCAAATAGCTATGCTTCCTGCAAGCAGATCCTCACTTGTCCAAAAGCAGGTGCCAGATATGATTAAAATGAATGAATGAAATGTCATTTGACTGCATTTTAATAGAATATGTTAAGTAGGGCACGTTATATTTTTACTGGCATTATTAGAAGAGTGCTATTTCTAAATGCTTACTTTTCTGAGG